AACAACCACCTGAATAAATTCAAGCCTAAACACCCCAAACACAATTCTTTGTCACTGCAGCAAGGTAAAACACAGTATGAATATATTTATGTTAATGTTTTGTACCGTCACACCATAGTCCAGCAGACCACCAGCATTAGCAATGTTCGTGCTGATTAATCGTCCTGGGAATCTTTGTATTGATTGCACATGTGGTCTTATGAACACGATTGTTTTTACACTCCCCACGGTATGTCCTGCTAATGCTGAACCAGCCAGTTAAAGGAGGCGACCTAAACAATGATTACTATTATTCATCAGTCTGATGACTTCATGCCTGCAGAAAATGCTGTATAGAAAAGGCTTTGTGGCAGTTTTATCCCTCATAGTCAGCCAGGCACAAATATCAAGTAGAAAAGTTAATGTGCATTTCCAATTCCCATGGCTACATGCTGAAACACACACATGCAGGGTGAGGGGTTGTGCTAAAAAAAATCCCCCTCACATATCAACCCTAGCCTACCCCTTAACTTCCCCCATGTGTCTCCTAGCACTATATCTGGCCAGAAACCAGGGGGCAGTTACTCAGGCAGACGGTAGCAGAGTGTTGCAAGACTCAGGCGCTGTTTGCTGTGGTTCTTGGTCTGCTGCAGATACTGGTCTGAGAGTCCAGGAAATTCCAGCAGACTCTGGGGCAGGGATTTTGGCTTGCGTGTCTGCTATTGGAAAAGCTGACAGTGTCGGAAGGGGGGATTGAAATTGCCTGGAGTCAGTCGGAAAAAGAAAGAAAGAGAGCGAGATATAGAGAAAATAGGCCTCATGCCATTTTTAAAGGGTGTCTCTTTTTACTTTTATCTGCCTGTCACACCCTGAGTGCATTAGATTGAACTTCAGGTTGAGAGCCATGGTCAGGATGGTAAGTTTTTATTTAATTGTTTCTGATTTATGCTTTGTGTGAGTAAATGCATGTGACTTCCTGGCAGCAGAGACACATGGCTGCGCTTAATGTGAATTGCTACTTCATTTTTTTAAGGAATTTTTCTGTCTGCACTAGACTAGTTGGGGTTGCGGGGTTATTTTACCACTACAATGGAACTGAAAGGAAAGGAGAGGTAGAGAAATAGTTATTTTCTCTCCTTTCCTTTCAGGTCCATTGTATTGGTTTATTCTGTCAGTGCATTGTTCTCTCCGAAAAAAGTCTTGTATTAATTGGAAGCCAAAAACTTTGTGTCCCGACAGTAGACAAAGGGTTTTCCCCGTCCCTCCCGTTTCGATCTCCTTCTCTTTTTCTCCTGTCCAGATGCTACCGCTGCTCTATTTCCCCACCTCACTGCCTCCACACATTTGGTTTCAATTACTTTGGCCCTCTGAGAAACATGCTACTATAAATAAATAACAACGGGCTTCGCTGTGGAAAGATTGCAGAGTTACAGACAGGGTTCATGGTGCTTTTATATGCTCACATTCCTCTGACTAAAGGACACTGTAAGAAAGGTGTTTGTTACAATTCTCTGTGATGATGCCAGGTTGGAGAAAGAAGGGCAGATAAAGAGGAAAGGAGGGGGTGGGACTTTGGCTAGAGAGTGAAGGAAACAGCTGTGAGGTATGGGACGTTTGGTTACTGTCTGCCCTTTAGTGTCCGAGTCAAAAACAGCTTTCCCCAACTCGGACGTGATCACGGGCCACTGAGAGTTTGAAATGGGCTGAGATCAGCCTCTAAAAGCTTTTTAAAATTCCTATGAGCTTTGTGGTATAGAAACAAGCAAAATGTGGAAGCCCGGGAAGGGAAATTAAAAGATTGCTATAGATTTTGTTTTGAACTGTTGCAGCCATGCAACTAAACACCATATAACTGATGATTCTTAATGATGCAAATTAGGTGCATCAATATAGAATTCAACTGACATGCACTCTCAGCTATGCTTGTCCTGGCTTTTTGCAATGACTTTAAAATGTAGCTCATCTTCATATTTATTATGTATTGCTGTTTTAAGGCTCTTGTTTTTATCTCTACTGTTATACAATATGGAGTTAATTTCAAGGTTATTTTCGTAAACGAAAACTAAAACTAAGAGGAACACCATTGATCAAAAAAACATATTCGTTAACTGAAATAAAAAATAAATGTCAAAATAAATGTAAAACTAAACGAAATGAAACTAACAAAAGTTATTGAAAATCTAACTGAAATAAAATAATAATTATCAAAAATAAATAATCATTTTCGTAATCATATAGGTTCTCAACCAGTGGCGGAAAAATATATGAGATGTGTGGCGGTTTAGGGAAATACCTGTAAATGGCACATCATGGACGTGAGGTTATGCTGACGGAGAGACGCAAAGCAGTTTTTAACTTTTAACTCTGCACGGGTCCTGTTCGGTAAACCCACACCAGCAGTACTTAACAGAACACCCGACCCGTTATCAATATCTGACAGCAGCACTAATTTAATTCTGTACCCGACCCGTTTGACGTAGCCTAAAGACCGCAACCCAAACCGCACTCGCATTAAATCTACTACATCAGGTAGGCAAAATTATTTATTTTCTCGTGTAACACAATAAATCAAACCAACATTAGGCATTCTAAGTCGATGTTTTGAAGAAAAATAGACAAGTAGCGCAATATGGTAATTAACAGAAAAAAAAGTTGAGAACGCGCATCCATTCTGTAAACAATAAAAAAACTTTTGCCTACATCTTGTGAACAATCTGCCCTATTTTGAACAAATATACATAAACCACACGCTTATAATTCTTCATAAATTAAAAGAACATATTTAAATGTGCCTTTACTGTTAAATGCAATTGCCTCTCCTCTGCAGTACGTGCAATACGTGGCCGTTGGTCCTTTATAGAAGGTTTAAAAAATAAAACGTATAAAATAAAATTATATATAGGATATAGAAAGCGAGCAAAGAGCGCTCCCTAAGCTGTCATTCACTTCAGCTGCAGCGCTTATGGCTATAATGCAACGCTGCAAATCAAATTGTGAATAGAAATCTTTGACGAATAAGCACGGGACCGTTTGAAGGCAGCTGCCTATTAGCGGGTATCGAATTGAGCCTAATGGCGCTTTTCCATTGCATGGTACGGCACGGTACGGTTCAATTTTTGGGGGTTTTCCACTGGGTACAGTACCTGGTACTTTTTTTAGTACCACCTCGGTTGGGGTTCCAAGTGAACCGTACCGTTACCAAAACGTGACGTGTAAACTCTGCTGATCACGGATTGGCCGGAGAGAATCGTCACTACCTGCGTCACTGAACCTGCGACACAAACACAAAAGAACCGCTAGATTTAAATCAGCACAGAGAGCGAAGGATCGAACGCAACTGTTTTGAATGAGCGCACCTTTTTTTAACAACCAAAAAGTTTGTTGTCTGTTGCGGAAGAACAGACGTTCCTCTCATTGATAGAAGAGAAGCGGATCCAGCGAGAGCTTGATAGGGCGACGCGGAATGAAAAAGTTTTTTTAGGAGTCGTGGTAGCAGAGGCAGCGCAACTATAACGACATGTGAATAATCTTTTAATGTTATTTTATGTTTTTAGTTATTTTAGTCTTAAGATATACGCAGTAGTAATATAAACAATAAAAAATAAAAAGCAAAAAAATAAAAATATAAAAAATGATAAAAGTTTATTTTATTACAATTCAAATACCAATTGCAGTGTTTGTAAATCATAATCACATTTTTTTTAATCAGTAGTGTAAACCTAAAGTGGTTCCACTTACTGTGACAGTGAAAACTAAATAAATAAATAAATATGTGTCTCCTCTTGTTTTACTCAAGTTCTATTTACTTTTGTTGTATTAGCTCTGCCCCATAAAGACTAACTGACTTCCTGGTATTGAAAGCTGCGGTTGTTTTTGGCACTAGAGTGCCAGTACCATTTTTGTCATTCAGCAGGTTTACATATTGTGTATTGGATAAAATATATCATATTTGGTGGATTTGTATTTAGGTTACTTAATAATAGTTGAGTGACAATACTCCTAGTATTTTTTTTTCTGCTGAGTGCATCTCTTTTATGAGTAAACAATATTGCATGATGACGAGAAATATTACTGGCATGAAATAATAATATTGCAGACTACAATATAATACTACATAAAAGCTCTTATGGAAAATAGCAGCTACTGTATAAAGTCCAGTGCTTTTTAGAGCTGTAGCCAAACATGTAAACAACTGCACTCACTTCTATTTAATCTAGTTTAATTTATTATGCAAAAACTGTTGGGTTTACAGTATATTTACCAGTAGAATATAGGAAAGACCTTCTCCAAAACAACGCCATGCAGAAGTTTTGGTGGTGAATTTATTCACCCTGACAACTACATTTTCAGCAAGGTTACATGGAAATGGTGCCTCTAAACCCTGATTCGGAATTCTGACACTAATTGGTTGTTTTCGAACCTTTGTCAAAGAGTGTGAAGCAAACAACCACCTGAATAAATTCAAGCCTAAACACCCCAAACACAATTCTTTGTCACTGCAGCAAGGTAAAACACAGTATGAATATATTTATGTTAATGTTTTGTACCGTCACACCATAGTCCAGCAGACCACCAGCATTAGCAATGTTCGTGCTGATTAATCGTCCTGGGAATCTTTGTATTGATTGCACATGTGGTCTTATGAACACGATTGTTTTTACACTCCCCACGGTATGTCCTGCTAATGCTGAACCAGCCAGTTAAAGGAGGCGACCTAAACAATGATTACTATTATTCATCAGTCTGATGACTTCATGCCTGCAGAAAATGCTGTATAGAAAAGGCTTTGTGGCAGTTTTATCCCTCATAGTCAGCCAGGCACAAATATCAAGTAGAAAAGTTAATGTGCATTTCCAATTCCCATGGCTACATGCTGAAACACACACATGCAGGGTGAGGGGTTGTGCTAAAAAAAATCCCCCTCACATATCAACCCTAGCCTACCCCTTAACTTCCCCCATGTGTCTCCTAGCACTATATCTGTCCAGAAACCAGGGGGCAGTTACTCAGGCAGACGGTAGCAGAGTGTTGCAAGACTCAGGCGCTGTTTGCTGTGGTTCTTGGTCTGCTGCAGATACTGGTCTGAGAGTCCAGGAAATTCCAGCAGACTCTGGGGCAGGGATTTTGGCTTGCGTGTCTGCTATTGGAAAAGCTGACAGTGTCGGAAGGGGGGATTGAAATTGCCTGGAGTCAGTCGGAAAAAGAAAGAAAGAGAGCGAGATATAGAGAAAATAGGCCTCATGCCATTTTTAAAGGGTGTCTCTTTTTACTTTTATCTGCCTGTCACACCCTGAGTGCATTAGATTGAACTTCAGGTTGAGAGCCATGGTCAGGATGGTAAGTTTTTATTTAATTGTTTCTGATTTATGCTTTGTGTGAGTAAATGCATGTGACTTCCTGGCAGCAGAGACACATGGCTGCGCTTAATGTGAATTGCTACTTCATTTTTTTAAGGAATTTTTCTGTCTGCACTAGACTAGTTGGGGTTGCGGGGTTATTTTACCACTACAATGGAACTGAAAGGAAAGGAGAGGTAGAGAAATAGTTATTTTCTCTCCTTTCCTTTCAGGTCCATTGTATTGGTTTATTCTGTCAGTGCATTGTTCTCTCCGAAAAAAGTCTTGTATTAATTGGAAGCCAAAAACTTTGTGTCCCGACAGTAGACAAAGGGTTTTCCCCGTCCCTCCCGTTTCGATCTCCTTCTCTTTTTCTCCTGTCCAGATGCTACCGCTGCTCTATTTCCCCACCTCACTGCCTCCACACATTTGGTTTCAATTACTTTGGCCCTCTGAGAAACATGCTACTATAAATAAATAACAACGGGCTTCGCTGTGGAAAGATTGCAGAGTTACAGACAGGGTTCATGGTGCTTTTATATGCTCACATTCCTCTGACTAAAGGACACTGTAAGAAAGGTGTTTGTTACAATTCTCTGTGATGATGCCAGGTTGGAGAAAGAAGGGCAGATAAAGAGGAAAGGAGGGGGTGGGACTTTGGCTAGAGAGTGAAGGAAACAGCTGTGAGGTATGGGACGTTTGGTTACTGTCTGCCCTTTAGTGTCCGAGTCAAAAACAGCTTTCCCCAACTCGGACGTGATCACGGGCCACTGAGAGTTTGAAATGGGCTGAGATCAGCCTCTAAAAGCTTTTTAAAATTCCTATGAGCTTTGTGGTATAGAAACAAGCAAAATGTGGAAGCCCGGGAAGGGAAATTAAAAGATTGCTATAGATTTTGTTTTGAACTGTTGCAGCCATGCAACTAAACACCATATAACTGATGATTCTTAATGATGCAAATTAGGTGCATCAATATAGAATTCAACTGACATGCACTCTCAGCTATGCTTGTCCTGGCTTTTTGCAATGACTTTAAAATGTAGCTCATCTTCATATTTATTATGTATTGCTGTTTTAAGGCTCTTGTTTTTATCTCTACTGTTATACAATATGGAGTTAATTTCAAGGTTATTTTCGTAAACGAAAACTAAAACTAAGAGGAACACCATTGATCAAAAAAACATATTCGTTAACTGAAATAAAAAATAAATGTCAAAATAAATGTAAAACTAAACGAAATGAAACTAACAAAAGTTATTGAAAATCTAACTGAAATAAAATAATAATTATCAAAAATAAATAATCATTTTCGTAATCATATAGGTTCTCAACCAGTGGCGGAAAAATATATGAGATGTGTGGCGGTTTAGGGAAATACCTGTAAATGGCACATCATGGACGTGAGGTTATGCTGACGGAGAGACGCAAAGCAGTTTTTAACTTTTAACTCTGCACGGGTCCTGTTCGGTAAACCCACACCAGCAGTACTTAACAGAACACCCGACCCGTTATCAATATCTGACAGCAGCACTAATTTAATTCTGTACCCGACCCGTTTGACGTAGCCTAAAGACCGCAACCCAAACCGCACTCGCATTAAATCTACTACATCAGGTAGGCAAAATTATTTATTTTCTCGTGTAACACAATAAATCAAACCAACATTAGGCATTCTAAGTCGATGTTTTGAAGAAAAATAGACAAGTAGCGCAATATGGTAATTAACAGAAAAAAAAGTTGAGAACGCGCATCCATTCTGTAAACAATAAAAAAACTTTTGCCTACATCTTGTGAACAATCTGCCCTATTTTGAACAAATATACATAAACCACACGCTTATAATTCTTCATAAATTAAAAGAACATATTTAAATGTGCCTTTACTGTTAAATGCAATTGCCTCTCCTCTGCAGTACGTGCAATACGTGGCCGTTGGTCCTTTATAGAAGGTTTAAAAAATAAAACGTATAAAATAAAATTATATATAGGATATAGAAAGCGAGCAAAGAGCGCTCCCTAAGCTGTCATTCACTTCAGCTGCAGCGCTTATGGCTATAATGCAACGCTGCAAATCAAATTGTGAATAGAAATCTTTGACGAATAAGCACGGGACCGTTTGAAGGCAGCTGCCTATTAGCGGGTATCGAATTGAGCCTAATGGCGCTTTTCCATTGCATGGTACGGCACGGTACGGTTCAATTTTTGGGGGTTTTCCACTGGGTACAGTACCTGGTACTTTTTTTAGTACCACCTCGGTTGGGGTTGCAAGTGAACCGTACCGTTACCAAAACGTGACGTGTAAACTCTGCTGATCACGGATTGGCCGGAGAGAATCGTCACTACCTGCGTCACTGAACCTGCGACACAAACACAAAAGAACCGCTAGATTTAAATCAGCACAGAGAGCGAAGGATCGAACGCAACTGTTTTGAATGAGCGCACCTTTTTTTAACAACCAAAAAGTTTGTTGTCTGTTGCGGAAGAACAGACGTTCCTCTCATTGATAGAAGAGAAGCGGATCCAGCGAGAGCTTGATAGGGCGACGCGGAATGAAAAAGTTTTTTTAGGAGTCGTGGTAGCAGAGGCAGCGCAACTATAACGACATGTGAATAATCCCGCCCACTCTAAAGCGGTACTGAACTGCAGTGGAAACGCAAACCATGCCGTGCCGTATTGAGCCGTGCCGAGCCGAGCCGAGTTGTACCACGCAGTGGAAAAGCGCACAGACATTTTGAGGGGCAGTGGCCCAAACCAAAAAACGGGCACTATAAGGTGCCCAAAGGCACTTTATCTCTAAAGAACCATCTCTTTCTTACCTTTTTATAATCTGAAGAACCTTCTTTCGCCACAAAGAACCTTTTGTGAAACAGAAAGTTTCTTCAGGAGTTAAAGGTTCTTTATGGAACCATTTAGACAAAAAGGTTCTTCTATGGCATCGTGAAGCACCTTTATTTTTAAGAGTGACCGACAGAAATACAAAAACATACTACCATATTACTAAATCAGCGAATCATCCACTGACTGTAATGTGGAGGGGACCACAAAAAAAAAGCGGGGCGTGATGGGGGGGGGGGGGGGGGTGCTTGTTAATACAAATTGTCCAGTTGTTACAAATATACAATTAAAATAGAAGACAGCACACTCGTAATAATTTCAGACTTTATCCTAGATGTTTTTTTTATAAGAATGGGCTATCCCTCACTCTCTGAGCTTGCTTCTGCCTCATCTTCAATGGAAGTAGGGGAGGGTGGGGTAAGTTGACCAACCGCGTTTCTTGGCAACTGTACACTTTTACTGTCATGTGACCATGTATTTAGGAACCACCCATAATTTCTGCCAGACTGAAAAGGAGAAACACATGGGGGGAATGGAAGGCACCCATTTACTTTAAAAACTGTCTTTGGCTTGTCAAAGTAAAAATTTAGCATAAGAGATGTAATGGTTGTTGCACGAGTTAGTGCACTCTCAGGGCTGGGTAGCGGCAGGAAGGGCATCTGGCGTAAAACGTGCCAAAGTAGTTGTGTGCACCCATTTACTTTAAAAACTGTTTTTGGCTTGTCAAAGTAAAAATTTAGCATAAGAGATGTAATGGTTGTTGCATGAGTTAGTGCACTCTCAGGGCTGGGTAGCGGCAGGAAGGGCATCTGGCGTAAAACGTGCCAAAGTAGTTGTGCGGATCACTCCGCTGTGGCGACCCCTGATAAAAGGGAGCAAGTCGAAGGAGAGAGAGAGATGTAATGGATGTTACATCAAAGCAAATTTATCCAGGTCTAAACATATTTATGATACATATAGGTGATTTTGCAAAATATATCATGCAAATCATTTAGCTAAATATTAGCCTGAACTGGTAAGCAACAGTAGCTATTTTTTTTTCCAAAATAGCAGCTGTTGGGCAAAGTGAGCCAAATGCTGTGCGGTAAATTGAGTCAGCATTTTAAATAAGGCAGTGTAGTTAAGTTAAATCTCTGAATTATAAACTGGTATTTTAATGTGATATATTACTGGTTTAGTTTATCATATACATATTTTGTAGTTTATTTGATAGGGACAGTGTACAAGTGCACCAAATCCTTCTCTGATAAGAACCAGAAAATGCTTTTCATTGCATTATAATCAGATGTATATTTCCACCTGTAGTCCCTAATGGCCAACAAACTCTCTGTTTAGTCTGTTTTAGGAAGGCTACAATTTTAGTGTTCCACATATTGTTTCAGAAATGCAAACAATTAAATATTGACATTTAAACTTAATTTGGTTGGTTTTATGTTGTTAAAGTTAACTTCAGGAAAAGAAATATGTCTTGTAAAAGGAAATTATTAAATTCATTTTTTTAATTATTATTTATTTCACATGGGTTTGATGGTCATTTTACACCCAGATGGTGCATCTTACCCACTGACTCGACTCGGGTTAACTTACCCCTAACCCGGGGCAAACTGAGCCATGGGAACACTTTTTTTTATTATAAGAAGCCATATTTTTAGAACCCTTTGTCATAGATACATTCTGATCATTTAAAATGCTAGGAATACTTTCATTAGGATAGGATAGGGTATACTGTCATTGTACTTCTGCATCATTTTAACTTATCTTGAGAACCACATAAGTAAAAAAAAATGGCTAATCTTACCCCACTCTCCCCTATAAGTATTAGACTTTTAATTTAATATTTTACAGCATAAATCAATATTATATACTAATAAACAACTAATTTAGAACATTTATATTCTTTTTTAACTATTTATAGGCCTACTATTAATATGGTTTTAATAAAATATGATGTGTTGTAGATTACTAGTACCAAGACAAGTGGTTATAATGGGAAATATACTTAATTACAAAAATGAAAGTGTGACAAACTGCTAAATATTCTATATGATGATTTAGCTGCTGGCTTGCTGGAGCTTTGTATTTATGTTTTCAATGTTGAACTGCCTTTAGCAGCCTCTCTTCGCTCTTTCTCTCTGTCTTCTTTTTTGCAAAGGCTTTTTTTGGTCTA